GCCCCCGAGATTACCCGACACACGATTCGACGCTTCGACACACAGGACACATCACTACCTTTTGCACGGTACGTTTTGCAAAATAATCCCTATGTTCGCGTAAAAACTGCACACGTTGTAGACCTGTTTTTACTCACCGTCACAGGATTTCAAGTTTACTTAAGACGAGGATAAGTCTGAACAAAGTGCACGTGTTGTCGAAGTTTGATCGCCTTTAGTGTTCTTGGCCTCCTCCCGTTGCGCATCCTCCTGAGATTTAAAGTTAGGATTCTTATTCAGTCATATTAAGCCGGATATTTTTACAAGTGCGTATATGTTTAGTGTATAATCTTACACATATTTGCGTTTTCATAAAAAAAAAAAACTTACAACAAACCTTAAACAGGAAATGTGAAGGGGGAGTAACGTCTCTAAATCGCAACAGCATTTCTCTGGTCTCATTCTGTTTTGAGACATCATTACTTAAAGAACCGACAAATATGGCGACTTTTTCTGGTGTTAATAGAGAGTTATGACGACATATCGCTCTCAACGAGCAGCGGGTGCTGCCGTGGGCACCTCGCCCGTGCCAAAGCGCTCACAGGCGCCTGACCTTGAGTCCTCACGGACAAAATGTTCTACTTTAACTGTTTTACTGTTTACTTTACAAATTCTTTTTACACATACAAATCCTGATTTAAAAGTACAAAACTGATTTACTATACAAAATATTTATGACCACAATTTGAGCCCATATAAAACTACTTAAAAAGATATATATATATACACACACACACAAACTAACTCTGCCAGACTGCCTATTTTGGGTCACTCTTGCCGCTGTTCTGACAAAACGTCCTACTTTGTCAAAACATCCTACCATAGTGTGAATTTATAGTCTTGTCTATCAGTCCGTGCTACCTTATCAGAATATGCTACCTTATGTGGTTTATGCCTCCATCGTACATATCTGTAGGTAGGACTTTCTAATGGCCAAATCACACTTAAAAACATGCCTCCAGCACACATTCATCTAATGTTAACACAGAATACAAGGAGAAATAGAGGGGAAAAGACAGGTGTTTTTTATTAGAACTTGTTACATGTTTTCCTCACATTATTTTTTCATTTATATTCTAGGTTGCTCTCCTTATATTTTGCACATTCAAAATGTGCCCATCTTTGGCAAGAATCACACTGCACCTGGAAAGGAGAAATAAATAGCTCATATTCTTTTTGGTAAATACTATTAGATAACATTTTAAACATGATTAGCAAGTAATGATACTAAGACTTACGTGTTTTTTTTGTTTGTTTGTTTACCATTTCAATCATGCTGCGGTCAGCGTCAGCATCTAACATAGAGCAAACAATGCAGTAGTCCTCAGTGTTCCCCGAAACACATTCATGGCCATTTGCTTGTAATCAAACATTATTTCTTGAATAATTAAAAAATAATAGTACAGTTTTTCCAAAAATACTTCATGGCAAATTAGTCTCCTGATTTTTTTTTTTTTAATTAGATTTTAAGAAAGATCTTATCACTTAGCACAGTACAAATACTTTTCAAACACTTTCTGATAAGTATATTACTGGACAATAAAACGATTATCACTCAATGAACAAGTATGTGGTGCAATATTACTTTTTTTGACATAACAACGGAGCGTGGTGTCTACTAATTGCAGGAGGACTAAAATTAATTGAGAAGGTTTATGCTGTATGCAAGTTTACAGAAGTTTAGAACCACTAAATCAAGACTTGGAATATGACTTCAATTAAGACTCAAAATTGGAGTATTTGTGCACAAAATACAAAACGCATGTTAGCTTGAAAAGTTAACAAATTCACAACAGCTTAAGGAAAACAATTATTAACTGTAATAAAGAAGTAAACTTTTTTTTCGCACCCAGAAGATCGGCACGAGATCGGGGTAGGATCAAATTAGGGCTGGGCGATATATCGAGTTTTTAAAAAATATCGATATATTTT